GACCATCGTCAATGGGACCTCAAGGAACCCCCGAACCTTTTGTAACTCTTATGACCTTCTCAAGAAGCTCTGAAAGCTTGTTCTGAAAAATGAATGTCTCTCTGCGACGTGTGGAACATCCTTGAGGTTCCCATCTTCCTGTCCATCGAAGCTCTAAAAGAACCACGGACCATCGGATCAACAAAACCACAAACACTGGACGGGCTTAATTGGACACTGTGTACAATGTGGTAACAATCAGTTTATATGTTACTGATATCTCTGTATGTCCTGGTTCTCACCTGCTTCTGGCTTGTTTGGGCCCCATATGGGGTCCTGTCGTTTCCAAGACTTTTCTTGATGATTTTCCCTGAACTGCTCCGTGACCCCTTAAACGTCCAAAGAACCTGTGAAACTTTGCAAAATACCCTCTGGGTCCCCGGTACCTCATTGAGGACCTCATCGTTGACCCTAAACCTCGTCACTGACACTCATTGAGTCACTGAGTCCTTGAAGCTCCCTAATGACCACTCAGACCTCCTTGTGGAACCCTAGAAACCTGGCGATCGTGTTAAACCCCCCCGACCCCTCAACTCAGAACACCCAGGTGATTCCTCCATGGAACATCTGCAACCCGTTAGGGACCCGCGGAGCGGCCTTCAGAACCTTCTCTGTGTAACTCGGTTACTTCTGGCGTCCTGATCACAGGATCACGTTTTTCTTCTGCTTCACTACTGAAACAGTGATGACGTTTGCAGAGGAAAGTAGTCGTAGGTGTAGAAACGGTCAATCATCCAATTTATGGGATTGTGAGTTTTATAAAGTCGACATGAAAGAAAAAACATGAGATGACACCTCCTTCCTTCAAAGGATCAGTTCAGACTCACACACACACACACACACACACACACACACACACACACACGAGCTAACAGATGTAAAGCCCCCAAATAAAACACACTTCTTCTGTGTTTTTAGAGCTTTATCTGAGATCAAACTGGTGTCTGATTAAGAGACGAGATAAAAAAAAAAACCTCTCAGATGCTCCACCCCTCTCTGGTGTGTGTGTGTTAGTGTGTGTGTTAGTGTGTGTGTGTGTGTGTTAGTGTGTGTGTGTGTGTGTGTGTGTGTTAGTGTGTGTGTGTGTGTGTGTGTGTTAGTGTGTGTGTGTGTGTGTGTTGTGCAGCGATTACTACAATTCCCAGACGGATGCAATCAGCAGATTGCACACACACACTCACACACACACACACACACACACCCTTTATAAATCAGCCTGTTATCCTGCAACCATCAGGTCTCTCTCTCTCTTCCTCATCTTTTCTTCTTTCTTTCCCACTTCCTCCCTCCATCTTTCACCACTAAAACGCAAACACATGAAATAAAATCCCACCACATCCTCTGTCTCTCCATCCCCAGACAGGAAGTGGGTGCATTAGCAGAGTGAGGATGGTGCTGATGAGATTAACGTCCATTATCGGTCCATTTGCAGGACGGAGTCGGGGCGAAGGGGGAGGAGCTACAACATGTCCGTGTCCTTTTTTCTCTTCTTCATCTCGGCCCAAAGCGAGGAGCCTCTTCAGAACCAAACCTACGTGTTTCTGGACGATTCATAGTCACGTCTTTAATACAATCGCATCATAATTATTTCATAGACTACATATAGACTCTATTTTCCTTTTCCTTTTCCTCGCCATCTTCCTTTCTAGGAAATATTTTAAAAAATACTTAATATTAAAATATTTAATGTCGAGCATGCCGGGTCACGTGACGTGAGCATCCAGATTACAGTTAATCCTGATGTAATCTGTGATCTGAGGCTTCTTCTTGCAGATGTGAAATAATAATTAGGTAATGTTAGTATGTCTGGAGGGTGTAGAATCAAATGTGGCCGAGTGGAGATATTTTTCAGCTGGTCGGGGGGTCAAAAAGGTTAAAGGTGTCTCGAAGAAAGAGGACGCGTGTCAAGATGAGTGATCAATACAGACAGTGAAGGAGAACATCAACTAAGAAAGAATTAAAGTAACCTCCAAGGACAAATCAGGACCAAAACACTCTGATTGGCTGATTAACCACGATAAAGAAAATGACCATTATTTTGAAAAATATAAAGAATAAAAGATTCTGATCAGTTTTTTTTCAAAACGAGACTAGTTGAATTTTAAGTCTGTCAAGGTACATTGAAGTAATTTATTATCATCATTATGATATATAATTATTATTGTGATAATAATAATATATCATTTATATAGCATTTTCGTCTCGCTGTAACCAATAAAGGTTTACACTGAAAAGAGAGAGTGGAGTGTGTCTGGAGGGGTTAATCCTCACACGCTTAAATCTGACCTCTCTCTGCTGGTACAACACACACACACACACACACACACACGCACACACACCGCACACACACACACACACACACACACACACACACACACACACACACGCACACACACACACACACACACACACACACACACCACACACACACACACACAACACACAACACCACACACAAACCACACACACACACACACACACACCACCACATCGCACGCACACCACACACACAACGCACGCACACACACGCACAGCAGCACGACACACGCACGCACCGCACACACACACACCACAACACACAGAACCACGCACACACACACACGCACCACACGCACACACACACACACACACACACACACAACGCACACACACACGCACACACACACAAGGACCACACACACACAAACGCACGCACACACACACACGCACGCACGCACACGCACGCACGCAACACGCACAGCACACACACACAACACACACACACGCACACACACACGCAGACAAACCACACAAGCACGCACACACACTCACACACACACACACACACCCAACACACACCGCAATTTCACACAAACACACAACACACACACCCACACACGCACGCAACTGAACACACACACACACACGCACGCAACACACACACACGCACGCACACACCACACACACACACACACACACAACTCACACACTCACACACACACACACACACACACAGCACACGCACGCACACACACACACACACACACACGCCACCCACACACACACCACATCACACACACACTCACACACACGCACCAACGCACACACACACACCGCACAACACACACACTCAACACCACAACTTCCTTGGGAAAATACCTGCAGCTAAAACATGTTTAACCATCAAAGTTGAATATTGTACAACACTAAACCGTCACACACACACAACACACACACACACACACACACAGTAACCCTGACCTCATTCCACTGTGTGCGAGGAGACACAGACAACACACACAGACACACACGGGTGGTGGAGGCCTGTGGGCCTTCGAGCAGCCGTGAATAATTGTGTTTACAGGACGGCGGTGCGACCGGTAGGTTTACAGAGAAGAAGAGACGGAGGGGACGGGCCTGACCCCGTCCCTCCGTCCCCCCTCCGTCCCTCCGTCCCCCCCGTCCCCCCGTCCTCCCTCCTCTCCGTCCTCTCCGTCCTCCCCGTGTAACTATTCTAGTTTATTGGCTCAAGCAGCGAAAACTGAACAATGAAGTCAAAACAAAAAGCAGATAAATGCAAATAAATGAAGAAACTGTGTTGATACCAGAGAGAGAAAACACTGTAGACTATGATGACGATGATTATGTCTCACAATCTGTTGAAGAACGTTCTGAAATGTTTCAGGACTAAAAGTTACAGGCGATATTTCATCTTTTAATTATTGTCTTTGTGTATTTGATGATATGATGACAAGAAAACTTATTTGAGTGTAAAAATGCCAAAAATCAAATATAGTAAATCAATGGTGAAAGGTGAAAGGTCAGTGATAACGCCATGACGGCAACAGCACGACATCATTAAATGGGCTTTTCTGTAAACGACGACATGCTAGCGCCCGGCGTTATCGTGATGCTATTAGGCTAAAAGCTAGCATGGGTATTATGAAAAGGCTTTTGTGTTATCCAGAGTTCAATCTTTCAGCAAAGGCCGACATGAAGATATCGGATCACAAGTTAAAGCATATCGAGTTTTGTCTTTTAATAAATGCATATGTTGATGATTCACACCCCATTTACCTACATTAAGGTTACTGAATCTTTCACAATTGCTTTTGTTCTGTTTTTCACATCAAGAAATAAAGCTAAAAGTTGTGTTAGCATGATGCTAACAAGCTGTGTTGAAGCAGCGAGGGGGATCTTCAAGGGGACGTAGCATAAGTAGCAACTCCGCTAACAGGCTTCAGCATGCTAACAGACAAAGGACAAGCTGCAACATGCTAACCAGCGGGTTACATGGGTGGAGCCGGTGGAGGGGCGGAGCTTGTGACATTTGCATAATTGGGATGTTAATTCGTTGAGCCGCAGGAGTTGATTGCGTTGCTTATTAATAACGTTGCATATTGATTATTATTGATAACGTTGCATATTGATTGATATTGATAACGTTGCATATTGATTGATATTGATAACGTGCATATTGATTGCGTTGCTATTGATAACGTTACATATTGATTGCGTTGCTTATTGATAACGTTACATATTGATTGCGTTGCTTATTGATAACGTTGCATATTGATGCGTTGCTTATTGATAACGTTGGCATATTGATTGATATTGATAACGTGCATATTGATTGCGTTGCTTATTGATAACGTTGCATATTGACTGATATTGATAACGTTGCATATTGATTGCGTTGCTTATTGATAACGTTGCATATTGATTGATATTGATAACGTTGCATATTGATTGCGTTGCTTATTGATAACGTTGCATATTGATTGCATTGCTTATGATAACGTTGCATATTGATTGATATTGATATTGATAACGTGCTGCCGTGAGGTTGTGCGCCTCTTTAGCGGAAGAAAAAGAGTCAGGTGTGAAACACAGCATTGATGTTCTTGCTGACGTGTGTGTTTGGTGGACGGATGGAGGTGTGAAGGGAGGGGGAGGGGGCTCTGGGGGGGGGGGGCTCCCACCTGGTCTTACCGTTCTCCGGGTGCTCCATCTTCGCCAATGCTGCCGTCGGGCGTGGTCCTCTCGTAGTGTCCTCCGGCAGGGCAGGGGCCCGATGCGGGGCCCCCCCGACGAGGACTTGGAGCTGGGGGTCTCCGACTCCTCCAGGCCGCTGTCGTAGTAGCTGTGCTGGGACGCGTCCTGCAGGGTCCTGCGCCTGATTGGCCGTGGAGAAGGTCACGCGGCGGTGGGGGGGCTGTGATTGCAGAGAGGTGGGGGCGAGGTTAGTTTTTTTTTCACTCTGACACTTTTGGTTAAATTTAACACGAGGCTCGCTGAACGATTAAAGACATCAAGTAGTAAAAATAACTTAAAAGAAGTCGTTTAGGCTTCAAACAAAACTTCTTTTGTGTTTGAATTCATTGGTTCTTCTCATCGCAGCGTCTCTCGAGTCGTCCTCTCCGTTCTAACCGTCCTCGCATCTCAGTCGGACATGAGGACATCACACACACAACAAACAGCTGCAGATAACCCAGTTACCACTGGCAACAGTCAGCCCCCCCCCCCTTAAAACCAACCAGCAGCTTGTCACACAGAAATATACATCTATATCATCCATATTAGATTCATAGATTATCTCTATATAGATATATAAAGAATCAATATATATATATATATATATAAAAATGGCTAGAAATGGCTATATATATATATATATATATATATATATAGCAAGGACGCACATAAACACACACACACATGTATATGTATATGTGTGTGGTGTGTGGTTGTGGTGTGTGGTGTGTAGATGAAGATCAAATGTTGTGGTACCCTCGTGCAGCCTGTCTGTCCACATTACCCCCCCTCCCTTCCCCCAAAATAAAACACACACTCTGCTGTTTCTGCCCTCTTTCTTCTTCTTCTGCTGGAAATAGGAAGTGCGAGCTCAGCAGGATGCACCATGGGAAAGTAGAGCACACTAAGGGGGGGGG